ATAGATAAAATTTGAGTAGCTAAAAATTGTATCTTTACTTTAGAAACAACATTTTCTCTCTTAACATTCAAAGACATTAGTGGTCAAGCTTCCTTCTCTGACTTGTCTTTTATTTCTAACCTTCTGGCAGGCACTGAAAATTCCTCTCTGATTCTACTTCTGAAAGAACTTATTTCCAAGAAGGCCCCAGTTTCAGAACTGTCACAGGAAGAGGTGTCCTTGGGAAAGAAATGAGTAATTGATTACATGCATAATTCTTCATAATACATCAGGCTTTGGAGAGCTTCTTTCAGTAGCAATCCACCTCCTTCTAGATTGAAGTGTTCCTCCGTAGAACATTATCTCCTTGCCAGAGAAGGGGAATCAACAAATCCTAGCTCTAAAGCAAGGACGTCATCAACCACAAAAGGACAAAATAATGACCACAGCATGGACTGGGGATCCATTGTACCAAGCACAGACATGCTGGGTGGGGTGGGGTTTTTTTTTAATATTTATTTATTTATTTATATTTTTATTTGGCTGTGCTGGGTCTTAGCTGCAGCACTCAGGATATTTGATCTTCACTGTGGCATGCGGCATGTGGGATTTAGTTCCCCAACCAGGGATTGAACCTGGGTCCGCTCCTCTGACAGCAGAGTCTTAGGGGCCACCAGGGAAGTCCCCATGTTGGGTGTTTTATATCCATTATCTCTTTCTCTACAAAGAGACCTCCTATGCCCATATTCCAAGAAAGAAAACTAAGGCTCAAATGGGGTAAATGATTTTCCAAAATGGAAGCAAACTGCATTTTGAACTCAAGTCCATCCAACTCCAAACCTGTGCTCTTTCCATTATGCCAACTATCTTGAATCAGAAATAAAAATAAAAGGGAAAAAATTCATGACAACACAGCCCAACATAGAGCTTCCTTCATGAGTGATCACCTGATTCAGAGTCTACTATCTGGAGACATCAAGCAAGGAATACAGCCTCTAAAGCGTCTTCTTTATAGTCTCAGGACATCGAGCAAGAATGTCAGGTGGGGGGAAAAAAGGAGAAGGGAACCTGCAAACGCCAAGACAGATGGCCAGAACTGGAAAGGCATCGAGCGCGACTCCTCCCTGACCACACACAGGCTCCTGCACACGACTGCTCCAGGAAGCCACTGGAGCCCGTGAGGGGAGGAACTGCCAAGCCGGCAAGGAGAGACGTCACAAAACAGGAGGCACACACCACAGCATATGGAATCTCAACAGTCCTTGAGAGCTGCACCACCCGCCCCTGGCCTCCTGGAGAAAGCAAGCAACTTTACTCTGATGGAATGACAAGACCCAGTGGTATTCCTGGCCTGGGCTACAATCAATCCTCCAAGCTCTACCATCAGCAACACCCGGGGGGACTGTGGTCAGGCCCACCAGCACTTCACTGTCCCAAAGCTTCGCCTTGAGTCACCATCACCCTAATACACACATCCCCTTTCCAACCACAGTGAGCTCCTCTGGAAGAACGTCTTTGCTACTGGGGACCTTGCCAATCCCACCCATTCTGAGGCGCTCAGCTGAAGGTCGCGCTCCTCTCCCAGAAGCAGGGTGGGGCCGCCTGTGCCCGCAGTGGTGTCTCCCTGTCCTGACTGTCAGCACTGCCCCACTTAGCATTTACCGACGCATCCGTCTAGGTGCCCTTAGGACTGATGCATTTTACTCCAATGGTGCAGTCTGGCATGCTGTTCCTCACTCTTTCCTGCAGTTAAATCCAGTACAATACTCACCGACTCTGTTCCAGGTACTGAAGATACAGGACTGATTAAATCCCAGCCCTGCCCAGTGGGACTCACAGTCTGGTGGAGGATGGATAATACAAGACAAGAGTTGTACAAATATACTTATCATAATAGCATACAAGATGCGATCCTAGGCATTAGTACACAGCACCGTGCTCATTTCCTCACATCATTTAGCTCAATCTGTGGCCGTCACGTTTATTTCTTTACTTACGGTCGGTCTGTCCCCAGTAGGAGACCCTGGGACAGGAGCCTTGTCTGTCTGGCTCACTGCTGTGGCCCCAGCACTCCGTATGGGCTTGTGCACAGAAACCCATTCATTCAAAGCTGCATTTGTGGAAGGTGATAAAGAGAGGCAGAGAAGCGCCGGGAACTGTGAGCATGAAGCCCAGCTGAGAGGTCCAGGTAAAAATTCCACGACAGGAGACACCGGAGCTCAGATGTGAAGCAAGAGCGTGGACCTCAGAGGGAAGCGGTGAGGCACAAGCCAGAGGAGGAAACGGGAGGAACAAAGGGAAGAGATGGCCGAATCAGCAGGGCAGAGCCCTTCACCGTTACCTCGGCCGGCTGTTCGCAAAGAGAGGCAGTTTTGTCCTTCGGGGACACGCGGCAATGCCTGGAGCCACTAGTGACTGTCATGACTTGGAGCAGCAGGGACTCCGGGCATCCGGAATCCAGGGATGCGGTTCAACACCCTACAAGTTACAGAAGAGCTCCCCATTCCCCTGCAACAGTGGATGCCAGCAGTGCTGAGGCCTGGTGATATTTCGGAAGACTCCCTTCCGAAGTTCACCATTTCTACTCACACCTAATACTGTCTTTTGATTAGAATTTGGATCAGAATAGCATTTGCTTGTCACCTCCCATAACCTCCAAAGGAAATACCCAAAGCCAATGGGGCTTTTATTTTAGCTGAACGAAGACTTTTAGCAGACACCAGTGGACTCCTGTTGCTACATATGGCCCCGGGTCTATTTCATGGTCTTCACCAAGCGCACAGAATCAATTCCCTTCATCTGTTGGCGACCCACCCTGACTCATCACTTTCCCTCTACATTCTAGGACCCCAAACTACCCACCCCCTATGCAGGGTAATGAGACACAGAAAGATGAGGCTCAGAGGGGCTCAACAGCATCAGGTGAATGGACAGATGGATGGCCAGCGGACAGAGGGACAGAGACCTTTCAGAACAGAACTTTGGAACCTTGGAACTTCTCAAGTTCACTGAAGAGCTGAAACTCCAATACTTTGGCCACCTGATACGAAGAACTGACTCATTGGAAAAGACCCTGATGCCGGGAAAGATTGAAGGCAGGAGAAGAAGGGGACAACAGAGGATGAGACAGTTGGATGGCATCACTGACTCAATGGACATGAGTTTGAGCAAGCTCTGGGAGTTGGCGATGGACAGAAAGGCCTGGTGTGCTGCGGTCCATGGGGTCGCAGCGGACATTACTGAGCGACTGAACTGAACTTGGAGCTTTCCTCTGCGCCTTGCGCACTTTTCCACAAAGGCAGAGTTGGCCCGAATGTCGACACCCACTGACCGTGCCCATCACAGGCTCCTGTTACAAAGAATGCACAAAAGAGGTCATGTCCCCCGGACTCTAAAGCCTGGGCAGGAAGTCAAGCAGTTGCATGTGATGGAGTGGCGGGAGGGGTGGGAGCTGGGAAGTCAGTGCAGATGAGGGCCCTTTGTCCAGAGGCACCACCAGCGACACCCAGAGGGGCTGCGCCTGCAGCAATGAAATCCGTGGGGCCTGATCCTCCTTCAGCTTCTCACAGGAAAAGTCTCTTAGTCCAAAATGAGTTTACTTATTTTTGCCCCGGCAAACAATTCGTTATTATCTGAAATGTCTGAATGATGACTCTAAAATTTAAGAAAGAAAAAAAGGTCACGAGTTTTTTCTGTTGCAAGAAGCCCAACAGCAGTATATTTCTAAAGAGAAGATTCAAGACACTCACAAGGGCGAGCTCCCACTGTAACCGGAGCAGGCCCTGGGGGCCTTCCCGGGACAGACCCCCCCCCCGCGCCCCACGTCCTCCGCCCGCCTCCTGTCTGGAGGAAGTCTTTAGCCAGAGAGTAAGTCTAATCAGAGACATGAGAAAAATGCAAAAACAACAAAGGAAAGTCAAACAAAGCAAAACAATAATAGTTTACCCACTGGACAAAGTCAAGGACCTTCCGTTTCTTCACAAAGTCTATAGATACAGCCTGAGCCGTGTCTTTGGAGCTGTTTTGCAGATACTGAAACCCCCATGGGGTGGAAGAAAGTAGCCGTGTGCTGCCTGCAAGCACAGAGACCCCAGACCAGCTGGAACCGGAAAGTTGATGATGTCGACTCTTGGTTGCCTCGCCACCAGCAGAAGCGCTAGCTGTCACTTCTAGGAAAGCAACGGCAGCCACCCTGCCGGCGGTCCAAGCAGTGCAATGAGCTTCAGAGGAGGGGAACCGAGCCCGCCCGCTGCTGCCGCGAAACCAGGGGGCAGAGGGGCGGGCGATGCCCAGCACGCCCTGCAGGACGGCCAGGACCGCTAGCGGCGGGAAGGAAGCAGGTCTATAGCTGCCCACAGTTGGCACGGGGAGTGCCCAGGAGCCACATGTGATTCCCACAGGTACAATCCCTACATTCGAACAAGTTCCATTCCGAGAGTGTGCGTGCAAATACAATTTATTTGCAAGTTCAACAAAGCAAGCTAGCCTGGGTACCCAACTACCACAACTGACTATACAGTACTGCATGATAATAGGTTTATAGTACTTTTCACACAAATAATACATAAAAAAGCAAATACAAAAAAATAGAGAAAACATTTTTTTAATCTTTTAGGAATCGTACAGACATGTGCACTAACTTGCACGATTGGACGTGCCAACACAAGTTGGCATCTTTGAAAGTTTGCAACTTGAAGGGTCATATGTAGGGGACATACTGTGTGGCTAGATCAGGAAGGAACTTTCTGATCTTTACAAAAGGGAAATTTGCACGAACCACTGAGGTTACTGATCCACATGTCTAGCATCCTGGGAGGAGACCATGAGACAACATGAACATAGAGCGTGTGGAATGCCCACACTCCACGTGGTGTGCTCACAGCTTTTTCAACAACAAAGGTATTTAATTTCCAGTCGCTGCTGAGTACAATGCCTGGGCCAACGCCAAATACAAAAGTGATGCAAAATATGGAGATCAGGTTTGAAAACTGAAAAGCTTTTATCATTGGTCCACTTCGTACCTTCTTTAATCCTCCGAACAAAGTGCTAGTCTCCAGGTCAAATTCTCGGTCCAGTTCCTCTTCATGTTCTGACAAGAAAAACAGTGTCTGTTAGTCAACGAATCTAAATAAACTGGGTTGGTTTCATAGGAGAGGCACTAAAAGAAATTGGCATACAGCCTGGAAAAGCTGCCTCTGGACTGAGCTACAGGCATGGAGACGTGTCACACTCCTTCATTTCTGTGACCTCGGTTCCTGAAAAAACGAGGGGCTGATGGCAATGCCCCTTTAACTTGCCATAAAGGTCACAAAAGGAGAGGGATCAAGAGTGAAAGTTCCCAGTGCAGGGGACCACAGGAGGGATGAGGGCAAATGCCTCACTTGCACAGATGGTGAAAAAAAGTTTTTGAACAGACCGTGGCACAAAATGATGGTGATCACAGCCTATCGCATAATGCTAACAAGATTACTGATGGAATTATATAATGGTAATACATATGCTTATAAGTGAACAATACAATTGGTTTAAAACAAAAAACATTTAAAAGCTTTCATTCAAATAACATTTAAAGATGAACAAGAACCAGGCACAGTATGAAATAGTAGGAAGGAAGCAGAACATGACCGGCATGGCTACTGCCCTCCTGGGACTTACTGTATCCTGGGTAAGAGAGACAAATAGTAAGAAATTACAACAATGTTGGTGAATGCCACAACACAGGAGGTAAGGAGTGCTGTGGGGACTGAATCTGGGGTGTCTCTGTGATCTCTCTGGGTGTCTATGTGGGCCTCCCTGGTGGCCTAGATGGTAAAGGGTCTACCTGCAGTGCAGGAGACCTGGGTTCAATCTCTGGGCTGAAAAGACCCCCCCAGAGAAAGGAATGGCAGCCCACTCCAGTATTCTTGCCTGAAGAATCCCAGGGACAGAGGAGCCTGGTGGGCTACAATCCATGGGTCACAGAGTCGGACATGACTGAGCAACTAACACCCACACGTGATGTGTAATAGGCAGCTGGATGGGCATGGATGAAGCTCAAAAGAGTGCCTCAGCTGGAGGGAAAGACTTAGAAAAGTCCTCAGTATAAGGGCAGTGATGAAGCCTCCAGAGGTGGCTGAGATCGCCCAAAAGGGCACAGACTGCATAGACAAGAAAAAAAAAAAAAAATTCAGTTCTCATCAGACCAACAAACAGATAAAAAAACACAGAAGACCACGAAGGAGAACCTAGAAAGATCAAAGGAAACCTGACTGCGTAATCCTGAAATGATGCTGGTTTCGGAGTAGGGTCAAAGGGCAGATGTACACACACACTCGAAGCAGACAGCAGCTGCTGCCTCCAGGGCAGACAGAAAAGGGAGGCCCGTGGGGCACGGGGGCCCGGGGCCCCACAGGCCCCAGCTCCAGGACGCGCGCACAGCGGGCTCCGCGAGCAGCAGGAGGCGGCGCGGCAGTGTGTGGCTGCCCCGGGCCCCTCTGTTACAGCTGCCCACGCGCCACACTGGGTGTGTATACGTGTGTGCTGCTCTACACAGACTCAAGTCCCGAGAAAACAACCCAGAACCATCAGTGAGCTGCGACGACCCGACACAGCAGCAGGTCCCTCTGACCTCAACAAGAAGGGGGAAAACCCCTCTGCTTTCTTGCCTCTTCTGTTCTGGTTTCACTTTCCTACACAGTGCAACCTCCAGAAACATCAGAATTACGCAGAACTGAAACAAAGCAAAAAAACTGGAGTTCTTCTCTTCCAAGGGTACATTCCAAAGCAATGAAGTTTCCACGCGAAGCAACCAGACTCCTCCCGGTTGGGACACATCGCCCTCTAGTGGGGAAAAAAGGAATCGTGCGCGGACAGGAGAATCCAGATGAAACCCTGTCCTGCCACTGTCCAACTGAAATACTACGTGAGACATAGTTGTAATTTTAACGTTTCTAGTAGGCACACTTTAAAAAGCAAAAAGAATTTAAAAAGACAAAAATTCAAGGTGAAATTAATTTCAATATGTCTTCCTGATCCCAATATATCCAAACATTATTTCAACGTGGAATCAACGCTAAACAATTACACATTCCTTTTTCTTCCTAATCCTTCAAAACTCCATGGACACATTATCTTTACAGCACATCTCAATCTGAAGCAGCCACATCCCAGGACCTCACCTGTGGCTACAGTCATGACAGCATCATCTAGACCAAAATCCTCCCTCAGCTTTTAGAGAATTCCTACCAGTTACCCTTGTCTGATTTCTCAACTCAAACAAACGCTGTATGACATACATTACAACATGAATCCATTCGTGATACTTTGGTGATCACTGTCTCCAGACTGTCTTGATTCAGCTGAAATGCACTGCTATAGAATTCGGCTGACCTAGGAGAATGGACGCTGGCAAGCTGCAGCAGGAGCTCTTTCTGTACCCCTTTCACCCTCAATAGTTTGATGGGAAGTCAATTCTGGGGTGGGGCAGGAGTAATTAGAGACTGTAATCTAGAAGGGGACGGAAATACATGCACGCACACACCCTCATCTGACACAAGCCACTGCTACAGACTAGCACGCCCAATTGTGGCTTATCTGTCCTTCAAACGCTTCTAGCATTTAAGGAATTCCAATCAGCTCCTACTTCCCTGGTGGCTCAGATGGTAAAAGCGTCTGCCCACAATGCAGGAGACCCGGGTTCAATCCCTGGGACGGGAAGATCTCCTGGAGAAGGAAATGGCAACCCACTCCAGTACTCTTGCCTGGAAAATCCCATAGACGGAGAAGCCTGGTAGGCTACAGTCCATGGGTCACAAAGAGTCGGACACAACTGAGCGACTTCACTTTCACCAATCAGCTCCTAGGGATTCTTCCTTTCTCGAGGAAGCTGGTGGCTGCAGCAGACTGTGGTAGTGAATGAGAGTGGAGAAGGGAGCGGAAAAGACGGGCTTCTGAAGACCAGAGAATTTAACAGCAAGCAGCTCTTAAATGTGCACATGGACATGACCCCAGGCAAGACATGAGGTGCTGGTTTTCCCATGAGATTCTCCGAGGGCCTGGGCTCCTCCCCTCCTCTAAACCAGTTCCCACCCAGGGAACGAAAAAGTGCTTTAAAAATAGCCCAGGTAAACAGGAATCATATATGTAAACAGGATGCAAAGCAACATAGGACAAAAATGACCTTCAAACCTCCATCACAGAGCAGCTCATCTACAGCTCCTTAGGAATTCTGGGGTCTATCCAGACAGGCACGCGATTTGCATGGGAATCCTTAGGGCTTCTGGGAGAGGCAGAAGACCCAGCCTGAGATGGAGACGCTCCAGCAAAGAGCAAGCTTTAAGTTGTCCTTGTGTTTGATCCAACACGGAGCAACGGCTGAGGAAGCAGGGGGCCTGAGGAGTGAGGCGCTGTGGACTCTAACCCTGAGGGGTGCCTTCAAAAGCCCTCCAGGCCCGCCTGTCCAGAGTCACCGAGAGGTTTATCTCAGGCTCTAAGAACGCAGATGCCCCGCAGGCCCCCACGAGGCCCTCCCCGTGGTATCAGCTTAGGAAGAAAACACCAGTGTAAGCCTGAGAGGAAGGAGCAGGCCAGGAGGCCAGCATCCCAGGAGGGAGGCCGGGAGTCGACGATCTGCTACGACCCTGGCCATGAGTAACGCAGGAAATTGTCAGCTGCCCAGTCGTGTCCGACTCTTTGTGACCCTCCGTGGACTGTAGCCCACCAGGTTCCTCTGTCCATGGGATTCTCCAGGCAAGAATACTGGAGTGGGTTGCCATGCCCTTCTCCAGGGAATCTTCCCAACCCAGGGATCGAACCCGGGTCTCCTGTGTTGCAGGCAGACTCTTTACCACTAAGCCATCAGAGAAGCCCCATAGAAAGCAAAGGTCAAGTATAAGGTCAAGTATAACATGGAGCCCTACCAGGTGGCACGCTCGGAGCCGCAGCTGCGTCACGACACCCACTATCCGTGCTGGCTATCTGGACAGGCTTGGCCCCCAGCAGCCCTCTCCACGGGCAGCCAGCTCCCTGGTTCCAAGGGCAAGGCCACCTGTTCAAACACAGGATTGGCAGCCTTCATCCCCATCCTGAACTGGGTCCCAGATAACTAACCAGCCATCTTGCAACCAAACTCCTCTAATCACAAAAGTTAAATGGCAAAAATTACTTCCAGATTGGCAAAGCCCATCCTTCATGAGAGGTCCATGTGTTAAATGAACAACATGAAAGAATTCATCTATAAATGAGCTGCTGTATCCTTTTCCCATAAGCTGGGATGAGTGACAAGTGATGAGAACAGGCGTGCAAAGGAACAAACAAAAGCCCAAAGGTGAATATGCTCAACTATATTTGCATCCCGCTTTAAGAACACCTACTATATATAAATATGTAAAAGAAAGAAAAGAAACTGGAGGCAGTAATTCAAATAATTTGCTCCATATTTGCTTAAATATCAGGGCTCCCTGGTGAAAAACGTTAATTGCTTGTCACTGAAGATTAAAGAAATGAAAATAAAACATCTGTGAAATAACTCAGTAAAACAGCGCAGTTCCTTTTATAAAATGTCTCTAACTGCAACTTTTCAGGAAGATAGCTATTCCATGAGAGGTGAGCCTGGGCTCTGTAAAGCCAAATGACCTAAAATAGCTGCTTGAGAAACTAATCACTGATAACAGAAAAATAGTAGAATTTATAAATAAATCCAAGAGCTTGTTCTTCAAAAAAAGAGAATCAACCTATCAAATAGATAAAACCTTTGGTAAAGTTCCTAAAACAAGAGAAATGAGACACGTGGGATTCAAGACATTCTAAGAATATGATATACAACTGTATGTTAGTACATCTGAAAACTTCAATGAAATTGAAAAATATAAATGCCACCAACTGAAGAAGAAAACCTAAATATACCAAGAATCCTGAAAGATACTGAAAAGTTTTTAATGAATCTACTTAAATACAGACTCCATGGCTAGACAAACTTACAAGCGAATAACATCAAACTCTGATACTGTTTAGGCAGTTCCATATTGTGAGGGCGGGGGGGAGCTTCCTCATTCATTTCAGAAAGTTAACAAAATGCTGACATTGAAATCTGCAGAAGAAACAATAAAACTG